ACTTGGACGGGGGGGCACCCAAGACGGCTTGAGCCAGGGCTATGGATCCACAACGCACACACATACAAACGCACACACACACACACACACGCACACACACACACACACGCACAGACACACACATACGCATACACAGACGCATTCGCACGCCGCACACACAAACACACGCACATACACACACACACACACGCACGCACACACACACACACACACATGCACACACGCACACACACACACGCACACGCACACGCACACACACACACACGCACACACACACATTCGAATCGCATCGACATCGAAATCGGAATTGATCGAAATCGAATCGATTTGAAATAGAAATGCGGTCCGCCTCCCTGCCCCGTGTTCCCTCCTGCCTCCTCCCTGTTCCCTCCGTCCTCTCCTATGCCCCGGCCCTCGTCCCTCCATCTCACCGTCTCGTCCTGCATCCCCTTTCCACTCCGCCGATCGTCCTGCCTCCCCCGCCCCTCCTGCCTGCCCCCTTCTCCTCTCTTCCACCCTCCCCCACCCCCCCACCCCATTGGGAATCGAGGAAGTACCTATACCGTTGCAGCGCTACCGCAGCAGAAGTCTTCTGACCATGCTTTCGAGGCGAATCCAGCCTTTGCGACGAGGGCAGCGGTATCGGCATCTTGTCTTCCCCTGACCCCCTCCCCGCCCTCATCGCCCCTCGCAACCTCCTCTTGGGCGTCCCGAAACCGTGTGGTGACATGGCCGCGTCGTGACCTCGACACCCCCAAAAACCTCGCCGCGTCGATCGGTCACCGCATGGCTCTGAGACGTCCTCGGAGAGCGACCCGGGTCCACGAACCGTGCGGCGACCCCGAATCCTCGCCGACGCACCACTCGGCGTGGTCACCGCACCGTCTGGGCGGCCCCGGCTCCTCCCATCCCCAGGGAAGACCAGGATCGAATGAGTCCAATCGGCGGCCGAAGCGAATCGATCGGCGGAAGCTGGCAGCCAAGTCGCGAGGGGTCGCATCGGCGGAGATCGGCAGGTCAGCAGGGCTTCCGTTGAGACATCGGAGGCCAAATTAGATTCCGAAGTCGCATCGAGGCGAGATCGTGAGCCGTTGACATCGAATCGAAACGAATCGGAGGAGTCGAAATGCAGGGCTTGGGCAAAACAGTGCTTTCCGTCTTCGTTTTAGTTGTTTTTCCCTCGTCCTGTCTTCGCTCAGCCACTGCTGCAAAACGAAACCAGAACGAAAACGCCCCGCGAAATCGCGAAAATACCGCTTAACTCGAGCCCTGTCGAAAGGAGCCATGTACCCCCCCGCCCTCTTCGGCCACACGCAAGTGGCCCTGGGTAAGAGTGACCGTTGGTGACGCGGCTCTTTGGGGGCCGCGGGGGGGACCAACCACGAGCGCGCAAGACGCTGCTATTAGGTCGGGCATGTCCCCTTACAGGCAGATGTTGGGAGACAATTGAAAAAATAGTCAACGGATGCTCAAAAATAACCAAAAGAAGTAGAAGTCAAAACAATCGTCACCAGACTATTTTGTTGACTAGTTTTGCATTTTCCTCCTGTAGAGGGACGTGCCCGACTGAAACCACAGGTCACTCCATCGCAAGGTCACTCTTTACGTGTAGTCGCCCCTTCGTCCGGACACGGGGGCGCGAGAATAGAAGAATGAAAAACGCCATAAACATTGAGTTTTGGCGTTCCGCGCGGATTTCTTGGATCTGCGCCAGACCCCCCTCCCTGGCGCGCGGAGCGCGCCACGAACGGCGCCGGAGGCGCCGCCAGGGAGGCCCAGCGCGGATCCGAGAAATCTGCGCCAAGCGCAAACAGTTTATGTTCATGTGCTATTTTCTTCGAACTGCCGCATCGCGTTCGGCGATCGGGGGACCCCGGTGGGCCCGCACCAAGGGTCACCTCATCGCAGGGTCACTCTTTACGTGTAGGGCAGGTTCGCGCAGCGTCGACGCGCGCAGAGGCTTTTGACACCGCGTCGATCGCTCCGCCTTGAATCGACCGCGGCCCCGATCGTTCCAGGTTGCTCTCAGCCGGGCCCGGTGGCGTCACCGTCCACCGGTGCTTCCGCGTCCGCAGATCGACTACACGCAAGAGTGACCCTTGGCAAGAGTGACCTTGGGTGCGCGGCATCAGGGGGGCGCGGGGGAGCCAAACCCAAGCGCGCAGGTCGCTGATGTCGCAGCGCGCTCGGCGATTGGAGGACCCACTTGGGCCCGCACCAGAGGCCACTCCGGCGAAAGGTCACTCTCACGTCTGGCCGAACAGACCTCGGCCTGGAACGCCCTCGCCGGCGCCGCCGGCGCGCCAACGCCGCGCGAACCTGCGGCACGCCGCGCGCCAACGCCGCGCGCCAACGCCGCGCGCCGCGCGCCAACGCCGCGCGCGCCAACGCCGCGCGCGCCAACACCTGCCAACGTCGCCGCGCGCCAACGCCGCGCGCATGCGCCCGGACGAGGATCGGGCCGGACGAAAGGGGGGGATTGGGAAAGGGGGGGTTACGAAATTTGCTGCATGCAGCTGGTTTCGGCCTCACCGAGGGGCCCATTCCTCGATACATGGGCGCCTCCTGGCGCCGGGAGGCGCCAGGAAAATCAGCTACGCGAGCTGATTCTCAACCCCCCCCTTTGCTATCCCCCCCTTTCGCCCGACCCGAGAGGAGAGCGCACGGGAGAGCGCCGCGCCTCGAGGCGCTGGCGCCCCGCGGCGGGGCCGCGCCCGCCGCGCGGGCCCGGCGGGGGCCAGCCACGCCTGCGCGCGGCTCGCGCGGGGGGGCGGGGGTGGGGGGCCGCGGGCCGTCCGCAAAGGGTGGGAGGCCGCATGCGAACCCGACCGCTCCTCCTCCTCCTCCTCCTCCTCCTCCTCCTCCTCCCTCCTCCTCCTCCTCCTCCTCCTCCCCCCCCCCTCCCCCTCCTCATCCCCCTCCTCCTCATTCTCCTCCTCCTCCTCCTCATCATCATCGTCAATTTCTAAGGTGGGAGGTGAGGTTCACTTCGTTCGGTACCTCCCGAGCGAAGTGAACCCCGCCTCCCTCCTCAGAAGTCGTGGGGTGGGTGTTGGAGCACTCGCAGGTGGCCACCGCAAAGGGCTCGCGCAGACCGCCGCCGCTCCCCAGCCAGGGCCACCCCGCCCGCGCCCCATCCCGGCCTCTTCTCGGCGGCGAGCGATGGGGGGGAAGCGAGAAGGAAAAGGCCTTCTCAGAGGGCGGCGGGGCTTCTCGGAAGCCCTCCGGCCTTCTGAGCAGTATCGTGCGTCTTCGGGGGAGGCGCTGACAACTTCTCAGAAGCTGGATGACTTATGGGCCGTCTGGGGCGGCCCGCTCCCCCTCACTTCCCCCCGAGCTGGCCGCCGATCTTCGCCCGCCCGGAACGGGTGCACAGAACCTCGGCCAAGGAGGGGGGCGAACAGCCCGAGGCAGAACATCCGTGTCGGAGCCCGGCTATCACCTGGAGGTCTCCTCCCGCGCTCTCACGCGCTCCGCCAATTCACGCAACCGACCGTTGTCGATCAGTCGCCCTTCAGAAACGGTCGTGGAGGTTGGAGGGGCCAAGAGCACCGTCTTGGGAGGTGTTCGAACAGGTGCTACAGAGCAGACGCCCTCAGCAGACTTTCTGTAATGAGGGTAGTGGCCTTCTCGGATCCTCTTCAAGGCGCTTTCGACTGAGGGCCCCGGGGTCCGATAGTACATCAGGCCAAGAAGGTGGCACCTGCGGCTGGTGTGAACCCCGCTCTTGGTGCAAAACATCAGGGGCTTGCACGTCTTACCCATGACAAAAAGAAAACCTAGCTCATGCAATTTGACCGACTCCGCACCTTCCAAACGCCTATATGTTCCTGGGTCTCTCCCGGCACTCGAACGATCTCAAGAAACACTTCGCGCAGCGAAACATGCCCGCACTCAAGATCTTCCCACTCGAGCCGTTCGGGTGAGGGCTGGAAGTCGTCGGGAAGCGGGACGTCGCCAAATCCAGGCGTGCAAGGGGAGGAATAATGGAGGGGGGCGGAGACGGGGAGGCGGAGAAGCCGGTTGAGTTTTCGCATTGGCCACTTCCGCAGCCCGCCACAGGCCGCATCAGGATAACATGTAGGATTTGGTCCGGCATGTCATCCTTCAGGCGTATTTTGGACGAAGATTCGAAAACGTCTTAAAAAGAATGAAGGGAATGACAGAAATACTGGAAAACATCGTCCCCACAGTATTTTCTGACTATTTTTGAATTTTCCTCCTGTAGAGGGACACGCCCGACTTAGATCAGGGGAGCGGGGGTGTTCCCTCCACTTCAAGCCGCTGTCTCTCTCCCTCGACAAGACAAACTTCGCGTTTTGGTGACGCAGCTAAAGATGTCCAGGGCGTCTGTCGCAGTCGGACGCCCAGAGCGAGCCATGACTGAACAAGACCAGCCGCCAAATAGCGACAGCCCTGAAATCCACCGCGGTGACAAGCTAATGTCTTGGAATCCAAAAAGATGATAACACAGTCGGAAGGAACCTGGGTGCGCCCATGATAACGCGCAAGGGAGCTCGACCGACTGAGCAATGACGATTCGGATTCCACCCAGGGCCGGCTGGGCGGGCAGGAAAGCGCGGTGCTGACGCTTCGGAGCCAATTACTTGGGCTGGCGATTCCGAGTGGTCGACGGATGGGGACTCGACGCGCTTGCTTTGTGAGGGTTTGCGGCGGGATCCCCGCCCCCGACGCTCGAAAACAGCGGCCGAGGGTGGGGAGCGATTCTCTTCACCGCCCACCTACATCGAGGTGCTTGTCAAGGTTGGCACCATGCAGGCAAGCATGGACAGCCCGCTCAGAACAACGTGCGTTTTCCTCATATCGATGAGACGACGCGGCCGACGCATGAACCGCGGACGAGGACGACGGGATAGATACCGCCAGACGTGCAATTGAGACAAGCATCATCGACCTCACACTAAAAACCAACGTACTGACAAAGCCCGATGCGACCCAAACCACGCACAATTTACTGCGGACTTGATCTGGATGCACTTTTCCTTAGGCAGCCATGCCGCTAAACCTGTGCAACACTTTCCCTGTGCTCATCGGCTGTAATACGGTATGAAGGCTCTTCGACCTTGAATGTGGGGATCTAATGCGTTGCGTACGACCTGAAACGAAATCGCTAATCGATGGTGTAGTCGGAGCCAACTATGTCACACCTCACCTTCCACTGCCATTGCTCCTTCATACTGGATGAGAAACCTCGTTTTCGTCAGAGGCAGGTGCCCCCAGGGGGAACACTAGAGGGCGCTGTCATTTGCCGAATCCTGGGCTCCTCTTGGCGGCGCGAAGAGGGGGGTATGAGGGAGGGGGGACGGCTTCCTAGAAGGAGGCTGCTTCTTAGAAGGCGTCGGCCTTTACAGAGAAGGCCCGCGCCGTCTAAGAAGAAGGGGTGTTTCAAAGAAGCCTTCCTCCCTCCCCATACCCCCCTCTGTGCGTGGCCTATCCTCGGCATGTGAGATGTTTGCTCCTCCCCGAACACCGTTTCGAGGAGCCCAGCATGGCCGGTCTGGAAGGGGTGGTCTTCAGGCCGTCAGGACCGGCGGACTCACCGCCAGGGCCAGCGAAATCATCTGGCCATGGGAACCTTCAACAGGCGCCCAGATCTTCCCAAGGGGCCATATCACGGGCATGCGTGACCGCAAGACTGCTCTAGATGGCCTCAGTATTGCCCGAAATGCCCCCCCAAACCGAACACAGCCTCCAGGCGAACCAGGATGCTCCGAAGAAGGCCCAAAAGGGCTCCAAGAGGACCTCCGAAGCTCATAGCATTGATCACTCTTTGGTTTTGACAGCGTTGACCGTTCTCGCCATTTTGGACTTCAGGCAACCCAAGACGGCCCGAGAGGCCTCGACGATTGCTGGAGATCCTCAAGGAGGGCCCCGAGACGGCCCGGGAGGGCCCCAAGTAGGCCTAAGAGGCCTCCAAGAGACGGCCCGAGAAAGTCCCAAGACGGCCCAAGAAGACCCCAAGAGGACCTCAAGACGGCCGCAGACCCCAAGAGGACCTCAAGAGGACTCAAATTACCCTGCGACGTACCCAACCCACGTGCATCAAATGGCAAGAGGAGTATGCCAACATTCGCAGGAACAACGACAGTGTAGACGCGGCGATTTGCTGTGCAAACTACATTGGATGCGCATGCGTTGCACGATTCACAGGACGACGGTCGAAAGAACGAGGATTGAGGCCCCAGGAACGAAGAAGAACGGGCACGGGAACGAGGGGTAGGAGAAGGATGGAATGGAGGGCGGGGGGGGGCGAAAGGCCATCGCGGAAGCAGCAGCGTGCATGGAGAAGGTGAGGCGGGGAATAGGACGACGATGAAAGTGGCGGGAGGAGACAGAAGACTGCCGCGTTTTTCAAGTGCGAGCTAAACCCGCAGCGCTGCCTGCGCCATGTCGTCGCAGAAGTTCCACATGATAAAACTTGTTTAGAGTGCCAGGAACGAGCGAGGCGTAGCTCGCCCGCTAGCTTCTCCGCCTCCTTCCCGCACATTTCAGCGCGGGAGCTGAACGCTCGCAGGCGCGCCGCCAGGTCTGCGGGCGGCCCGCGGGAAAGAAACTCAAGGCCGGGGTCGCGTATCATCAATCGGTTGTCCATCGTCCAAAGTTGCACTGGCGACGTACTGGTTGAACGCGGAGCGAGCAGCATCACGCGCGTGCCTGAACGCCACGCAGGTACAGTGCACGCGCGATTGGGACTTCAGGTCGATCGCGCGCGTCTCCACCAGGCTTGGCAACACCACGCGACTGAGGATCTCACTGCGGTCTGCCATGCTGCTGTCCGCGAATGCAATGCGCTGCCTGCAAGTAAGGCGGCGGCGTCCACTTGTCTCAGAAGATGTTCCCGCGGGCCCGAAGGGCGACCGCCAGCTCGAGCCGCGGCGCCGGCAGGCCAGATAAGGATCATGCAACAGCAAAGACGATGACAAAGCAACGAGGTATCGGCGAGTGCATGACCGGCCTCCGTTTCCTGCACTTTTTTCCTGTAGTTCCCCTAGCTCATCGAGCTCAGCAGATGTTTCTGCGGGTCCGAAGGACGACCGCCAGCTCGAGTCGCAGCGCCGACGAGCTGCATCCACATCAGGCAACACCCCAGGAGACACTGGCACACAACGATTTGACGTCAGTCAGTGCCAAATCACTCCATGTCTAGTTCCTCGCACACATACAGTCGATCGCAGATGCGGGATAGACGAAGTAGAATGACGTGTCCAATCTGCGTCCGCGTAGGACGTCACTATGCTGGACCCCGCAGCAGGTCTCGAAAGTGGCGACAGTTTCGTGGGCCCCACAGCAGCCCTCGAAAGTGGCGACAGTTTCATAGATCGTAGCCCCCCAGCGTTGGCGAGGTCTAATCTGAGTCCCCGTAGGACGTCACTCCGCTGGCCCCCCAAGCAGCCTTCGAAAGTGGCGACAGTTTCACAGATCGCAGCCCCCCAGGGATGGCGAGGTCTAATCTGTATCCCCGTAGGGCGTCACTCCGCTGGGCCCCCCCCGCAGCCTTCGAAAGTGGCGACAGTTTCACAGATCGCAGCCCCCCAGGGATGGCGAGGTCTAATCTGAGTCCCCGTAGGCGTCACTCCGCTGGGCCCCCCAGCAGCCCTCGAAAGTGGCGACAGTTTCACAGACCGCAGCCCCCCAGGAATGGCGAGGTCTAATCTGAATCCCCGTAGGGCGTCACTCCGCTGGGCCCCCCAGCAGCCCTCGAAAGTGGCGACAGTTTCACAGATCGCAGCCCCCCAGGGATGGCGAGGTCTAATCTGAATCCCCGTAGGGCGTCACTCCGCTGGGCCCCCCAGCAGCCTCGAAAGTGGCGACAGTTTCACAGATCGCAGCCCCCCAGGGATGGCGAGGTCTAATCTGAATCCCCGTAGGGCGTCACTCCGCTGGGCCCCCCAGCAGCCCTCGAAAGTGGCGACAGTTTCGCAGATCGCAGCCCCCCAGGGATGGCGAGGTCTAATCTGAATCCCCGTAGGGCGTCACTCCGCCGGGCCCCCCAGCAGCAGCCTCGAAAGTGGCGACAGTTTCACAGATCGCAGCCCCCCAGGGATGGCGAGGTCTAATCTGACTCCCCGTAGGGCGTCACTCCGCTGGCCACCCCAGCCGCCCTCGAAAGCGGCGACAGTTTCACAGATCGCAGCCCCCCAGGGATGGCGAGGTCTAATCTGAGTCCCCGTAGGGCGTCACTCCGCGCTGGCCACCCCAGCAGTCCTCGAAAGTGGCAACAGTTTCACAAATCGCAGCCCCCCAGGGATGGCGAGGTCTAATCTGAATCCCCGTAGGGCGTCACTCCGCTGGGCCCCCCAGCAGCCCTCGAAAGTGACGACAGTCTCGCAGATCGCCGCCCCCCAGGGATGGCGAGGTCTAATCTGAGTCCCCGTAGGGCGTCACTCCGCTGGGCCCCCCAGCAGCCCTCGAAAGTGGCGACAGTTTCACAGATCGCAACCCCCCAGGGATGGCGAGGTCTAATCTGCGTCCCCGTAGGGTCACTCACTCCGCTGGCCACCCCAGCAGCCCTCGAAAGTGGCGTTTCGCAGATCGCAGCCCCCCAGAGATGGCGAGGTCTAATCTAAGTCCCCGTGGGGCGTCACTCCGCTGGCCACCCCAGCAGCCTCGAAAGTCGACAACAGATCGGCCCCCCAGGGATGGCGAGGTCTAATCTGAGTCCCCGTAGGGCGTCACTCCGCTGGCCCCCCAGCAGCCCTCGAAAGTGGCGACAGTTTCACAGATCGCCCCCCCAGGGATGGCGAGGTCTAATCTGAGTCCCCGTAGGGCGTCACTCCGCTGGCCACCCCAGCAGCCCTCGAAAGTGGCGACAGTTTCACAGATCGCAGCCCCCCAGGGATGGCGAGGTCTAATCTGAGTCCCCGTAGGGCGTCACTCCGCTGGCCACCCCAGCAGTCTTCGAGAAGTGGCGAGGTCTAATCTGAGTCCCCGTAGGGCGTCACTCAGCAGTCTTCGAAAGTGGCAACAGTTTCACAGATCGCAGCCCCCCAGGGATGGCGAGGTCTAATCTGAGTCCCCGTGGGGCGTCACTCCGCTGGCCACCCCAGCAGCCCTCGAAAGTGACGACAGTCTCGCAGATCGCCGCCCCCCAGGGATGGCGAGGTCTAATCTGAATCCCCGTAGGGCGTCACTCCGCTGGGCCCCCCGGCAGCCCTCGAAAGTGGCGACAGTTTCACAGATCGCAACCCCCAGGGATGGCGAGGTCTAATCTGAGTCCCCGTAGGGCGTCACTCCGCTGGGCCCCCCAGCAGCCCTCGAAAGTGGCGACGGTTTCACAGATCGCAGCCCCCCCAGAAATGGCGAGGTCTAATCTGAGTCCCCGTAGGGCGTCACTCCGCCGGGCCCCCCAGCAGCCCTCGAAAGTGGCGACAGTTTCACAGATCGCAGAGAAGCGGAGAATGGGAAGCAAGAGAGGAGAGGAAGAGGGAAGAGAGGAGGAGGAGGCGGGAAGGAAGGTGGAGACCGCAGTGCTCTATTCAAAACGAGTACCCAACGCAGGAGGGTTGGGAAAATTACCCTGCGACGTACCCAACCCAATGGTATCAAGTGGCAAGAGGAGTAGGGAAACATTAGCAGGATCAATGACAGCGCATGCGCGGCGATGTGTAGTACAAGCTACATGTGATACGTAATGTTGCACGTCTTTCAGGACAGCAATCGATAAGACGAGGAATATGTCCCAAGGCTGGTTAACAATAGCGGGGGCTGGATCGAAGGACAGGAGACTGACGAACCTAATAGGACGGGGCGATGAGCCATCGCGGCAGCAGCAGCAGCGTGAATGCATAGGGTGACAGGAGGACTAGGGCGGTGATGATACAAGAGGTTGGAGGAAGCAAGAGACTGCTTCGTTGTTGCAGGAGCTCGAACAACGCATGCCTGCTGCCTGATCACAGGATCAAACATGCTTATATCGAGTGCAAGAAGCGAACGATACCTAGCTCTCTCGCAAGCTTCTCTGCCACCTTCCTGCACGTTGCAGTGCGGGGACTGAACTTCTGCAGTTTTCTCCGCCAGGTCTGCTGGTGGGCCGCGGGCAAGAAAGTCAAGGCCGGGGTCGCGCACCATCAATAGGTTGTCTATCGTCGTCGCCCTGCACAGCATCACGTAGAAGTGCAGCCATAGAGCGGCCCCCCAGGGACAGCGCTGCAGATCGCAACTGCCCAGGGATGGCGAGGTCTAATCTGAATCTAGGTGGTGTCTCACTCCGCTGGGCCTACCAGCAGCCCTCGAATGTAGCGACAGTTTCGCAGATCGCAGCCCCCCAAGGATGGCGAGGTCTAATCTGAATCTGGGTGGTGCCTCACCCCGCTGGACCCACCAGCAGCCCTCAAATGTGGCGACAGTGTCGCAGATCGCCGCCCCCAGGGATGGCGAGGTCGAATCTGAATCTGCGTGGTGCCTCACTCCGCTGGACCCACCAGCAGCCCTCGAAGGTGGCGACAGTTTCGCAGATCGCAGCCCCCCAGAAATGGCGGAAGTTAATCTGAATCTGCGTGGTGCCTGACTCCGCTGCACGCACCAGCAGCCCTCGAAAGGTGTGACAGTTTCGCAGATCGCCCCCCTCCAGGGATGGCGAGGTCTAATCTGAATCTGCATGGTGCCTCACTCCGCTGGACCCACCAGCAGCCCTCGAAAGTGGCGACAGTTTCGCAGATCGCAGCCCCCCAGGGATGGCGAGGTCTAATATGAATCCCCGTAGGGCGTCACTCCGCTGGACCCGCCAGCAGCCCTCGAAAGTGGCGACAGTTTCACAGATCGCAGCCCCCCAGGGATGGCAAGGTCTAATCTGAATCCCCGTAGGGCGTCACTCCGCTGGGCACCCCAGCAGCCCTCGAAAGTGGCAACAGTTTCAAATATCGCAGCCCCCCAGGAATGGCGAGGTCTAATCTGAGTCTCCGTAGGGCGTCACTCGGCTGAGCCCCCCAGCAGCCTTCGAAAGTGGCGACAGTTTCACAGATCGCAGCCCCCCCAGGGATGGAGAGGTCTAATCTGAATCCCCGTAGGGCGTCACTCCGCTGGGCCCCCCAGCAGCCCTCGAAAGTGGCGACAGTGTCGCAGATCGCAGCCCCCCCAGGGATGGCGAGGTCGAATCTGAATTCCCGAAGGGCGTCACTCCGCTGGGCCCCCCAGCAGCCCTCGAAATGGCGACAGTTTCACAGATCGCAGCCCCCCACGGATGGCGAGGTCTAATCTGAGTCCCCGTAGGGCGTCACTCCGCTGGGCCCCCCAGCAGCCCTGGAAAGTGGCGACAGTTTCACAGATCGCAGCACCCCAGGGATGGCGAGGTCTAATCTGAGTCCCCGTAGGGCGTCACCCGCTGGGCCCCCCAGCAGCCCTCGAAAGTGGCGACAGTTTCACAGATCGCAGCCCCCCAGGGATGGCGAGGTCTAATCTGAGTCCCCGTAGGGCGTCACTCCGCTGGGCCCCCAGCAGCCCTCGAAAGTGGCGACAGTTTCACAGATCGCAGCCCCCCAGGGATGGCGAGGTCTAATCTGAGTCCCCGTAGGGCGTCACTCCGCTGGGCCCCCCAGCAGCCCTCGAAAGTGGCGACAGTTTCACAGATCGCAGCCCCCCAGGGATGGCGAGGTCTAATCTGAGTCCCCGTAGGGCGTCACTCCGCTGGGCCCCCCAGCAGCCCCGAAAGTGGCGCGAGGTGCACATCGCAGCACAGATCGCAGCCCCCCAGGGATGGCGAGGTCTAATCTGAGTCCCCGTAGGGCGTCACTCCGCTGGGCCCCCCAGCAGCCCTCGAAAGTGGCGACAGTTTCACAGATCGCAGCCCCCCAGGGATGGCGAGGTCTAATCTGAGTCCCCGTAGGGCGTCACTCCGCTGGGCCCCCCAGCAGCCCTCGAAAGTGGCAACAGTTTCACAGACCGCAGCCCCCCAGGATGGCGAGGTCTAATCTGAATCCCCGTAGGGCGTCACTCCGCTGGGCCCCCCAGCAGCCCTCGAAAGTGGCGACAGTTTCACAGATCGCAGCCCCCAGGGATGGCGAGGTCTAATCTGAGTCCCCGTAGGGCGTCACTCCGCTGGGCACCCCAGCAGCCCCCGAAAGTGGCGACAATTTCACAGATCGCAGCCCCCCAGAGATAACGTAAAAGGCAAGAGAAGAGAAGAGGAGGAGCGAAGAGAGGAGGCGGGAAGGAAGGAAGGAAGGAATGAAGGAAGGAAGGAAGGAAGGAAGGTGGAGACCGCAGTGCTCTATTCAAAACGAGTACCCAACGCAGGAGGGTTGGGAAAAACCCAAAGAGGACCTCAAGAAAGACCCCAAGAGGATCTCAAGAAAGACTTCAAAGAGGGCCTCAAGAGGTCCAAGAAGACCGCAAGAAGACCTCAAGAACGACGCCCCACACAACTTCCGAAGAGCCCGGACTGCCCAAGAGCGTCCGAATGCGCCTCCAGGCGCCACCAAGAGGCCCCAAGATCCTAAGACACTTCCACAGAGCCCGAAGACTCTCCCAAATGCCAATGCTCTACGCGCCTTAGACGTACAACCCGCTAGGCGAGAAATCTAGTTTGCCATGAACGAGGCAATCATAATACCGCCAAAAAGGTTGGCGGTGCGGCGTAAGCCAATTCATCGCATTAATGCGGGTAATTGCACGTACATCTGTGCGTACATGGGCCCATGAAATCTTTAAACGTGTGGCACACGCGGCGGCACGGCAAACATAGAACGAAAGGAACCCGCCAAGCCGTCAACTGACTCCAAAGCGGACAAACACTCAAAATGAAATTAATCAGCTCGGTACTGTATTTCGCTGCTGGAACTGCGTCAACCTTGAGCTTAGGGTTCCGCGTGCGAGGAGGAGACTAGCATGGGGGTCAGGGTGAGTGGGACGCTCCACTCGACAATCACGACCAGCACGACCAGCAAATGTAGTCGATCTAGTCGTTCGCGCTGGATGAGCTTGCGCTTCAGCTTCTGTTGTGCCATGATTGGCTTGAGCCTAGGATGTTGCTCACGAGGCGGGGATTCGTGTTTCGACGAGTTTCATTAGAGGGTTGGGCGTTCCACGCACCAGGACCTCAACACAGACGTATTCACTGCATCGCTTCGTTTGTTGCTGATTGCTGCGCTGCGCATCATAATTCACTGCATTCGCCTTGAGCCCAGGCGTGCGCGTGTGAAGCGGTGAGTAACGGATTCAAGGAGGTTCTGGTGTCAGGCTCCACAGACCAACCACGACGAGAACACGCGTTTTGCATCATAGATTGCTTTTGTGCTGCAGCCGCGTTTGCACGAATGTGTTTGTTTGCATGTCAACGTGGTCTCTCTGGTGTGATTGCTCTTGGCTCTGCTAGTTGAGATTTGTTGTAATGTGCTTCTGTTGCGCGGATCGGAATGGCAAATACTCTTGGTTGGCGTGGAAAGCGCCTTTGGCATTGAGTGTGAAGTCATGCTCTCTGTTCACGGGCTGGAGCCGTTGCCAACAAATCCGTGGGTATTGCTCACTGCCGGGTCTGTTTTAGGTTTTGGAAGTGCTTTCACTGCAACACGTTTGTTGTGTACTTATCTGTCTACTACACGCTCTACGTACTCCCCCATCCTGTCCCTGCATTTGCCCACGCCTAGCGGCTGGCTTCATCAAGCGTCCGGAATGATGCGACACATTCAGAGAAGTAGCGGCTGCTTGAACGGGCACGCCGGCGCAGAACCCAGACTCGCAACCAACGTTATGCAAACGCTTCTGTGTCTACCTGGTCTGCGTGTCTGCGGTGGGAGGGCGAACATCCGTTTGCTCTGGCTGCTCGGGCTGGTGGGGCTGCGCTGCTCCGTCTGGTCTCGGTGGTCTTCTCTGGCTGCTGGGGCTTGTGCGATCAAGCCGCTCCGAGGAATTCGAAGGCACGGAGGGGAGGCAGGAGGGAACGGCCTGCATCAGCTGGCCCCTCCTGCCGACAAGGCAAAGATGAGGGTGGGGGGTCACATCACATAGGGAACTGTTCGATCCGAGCTGCGAAGAGTGCCCGCGCATTTGAATACATATGGCGCGCAGAGTCCAACGGTCGGGGTGGCTCTGCCGGGATAGGGGTGCGGGAGGGGGGGGGTCCGGTGGCGTGGGTTCCGGGAGCGTGGGGGGCGGGGGGATCCGGTCCCCCGTCCCGCCTGTGGACAGGGAGAATTTGGGAAAGATGGGTGGGGGTGGTCCGGTAGCGTGGGATTCGATGGCGCGGGGGAGGGGAAGGGGGGGGTCCGTGTCGTGCGAGTTGGAAGTAGCCTCGGCTACACCCTCGAGGCGGAGCTTCAGCCTCTGGGGGTGTTGCAGGGGTGGCTCTGCCGAGGAAGGGGGGAGGGGGGAGCGTGCGCGTTCGTGCGCGGGGGTAATGTCTGTCCGTATACGCGAGAAGGGAATCAGGGAAAAAGGGAGAGAGAAGTGGAACGGGGCAAGAGCGGAAAACGGGGAACAAATGGGGGGAAAGACGAAGATGGCGGTGAAATGCGTGTCTGTTGGTGTGTGCGTGTGTGTGGTGTGTGTATGTGTGTGTGTTTGCGGTGTGCGTGGTGTGTGTGTGTGTGTACGTGTGTGTGTGCGTGTGTTGCCAGCGTGTGCGTGTGCATGTGCTTGGGATGGTGGCGCGCGTGTGTAAATGTGGTGTGTCTGTGGGTGTGTGTGTAGTGTGTGTGTGTGTATGTGTGTTTTTGTGTGTGCGTGTGTGTGCATGTGTGTGCGCGTGTGCGCGTAATGTCTTCGAGCGTGTGCGCACGTGTCTGTCGGCGAAAGGTCGCCGCCCAATCTGGGGGGGCACCCCAAGCGACCCGGAACGGCGGCACGCATTTAGCATTAGGTCGGGCGTGTCGCCCTACAGGAAGATGTTGGACGACAAATATAAGTACCCCCAAAATGCTCGAAAATAGGAAAAACTATTGTTTGACAAATGTTTGAACGTTCCTCGTCTAGAGGGACAGGCCCGACTTATGTAGCACCTTCCCGGCGCCCAGGATGAGCTCGCCCGCGGGCGCGCGGGCTTGACCTTGGCCTTGCACGTGCGCTTGCCCTGGATCAGCACACGACTATATAAACAGAGACATACGCTTGCGGAGCTCCGCAGGGACGTCTTGCATCGGCGCAGGAGGCGCCGCCCTGAGGTCAGGCGCCGATCAGAGAAACCCGCGCGGACCTCCGAGCCGTTGTCTCCTTCGATGCCCGACGAACAGGCGGTGGTGCACACCCCAGCTCAGCCCGCCTGTAACGTGCCCCCTCCCCCCCGCTCGCCTGCGAGGTTGGGATGTACCCTTAGGTCGGGCATGTCCCCCCACAGGCGGATTTTGGACGAGCAATTCAAAATAGCCAAACTATACATGAGGATGGTGAAGAAAAAGGGAACATCGTCCCCAGACTATTGGTTGACTTGTTTTGAGCCTTCCCCCTGTAGAAGCGCTTGCCCGACGGAACTTGATCCAGAACCAACGTCTTGGGGATCGATCTGCGGAGGCCTCGGCGGGCGCTGGATGATGATGGATAGACGTGCCCCCCACTAGGGCCTCTGAAGGAGCCCCAGGACACAAATAAATACACACACACACACATAAAAGGATTCCCCATATTCTCCTATACTTTCTGGGTTTTCGTCTCCCCCCCAATCCCCATAGTTTCCCATATTTTCCTGGGAATCGACGATTAATTGTGTCTGTATGTTTCTTTCCCTCCTGGGCCTCGACATTACCCACATCCACCGCCTGCCAAGGTCCTCGAGGATCGATCCCCCAACCGGGCGGTTACAGCAGGGGCTGAGCGGAGAGGACCCGCGAGAGGACACAAGACCCTTCCGAAGGCCACATTGCCACAGAACAGAAGAAGGCGTGGCTCGCGAAACACGGGACACGATACATCAAGGCACTCGTGATTTGGCAGGGTCGACCTACTGATCAGCCTCGACTGTATGGATGAATTCCCCGTCTCGCCGACGAGCGGGAGGGAGGGGGCACGGCACTGGCGAGCCGAGGTGGGGTGGGGTGTTCAGCAGCGCGTGCACGGCGGGCATCCAGCGAGAGAAAGCGGCATCGACACAAACTTTGATGGGCCCATCTTCCACCACCACTACCATAGGTAGGAGGAGGAGGAGGAGCAGGAGGAGGAGGAGGAGAAGGAGGAGGAGGACCTCTTCATCCTCTCTTCTCCCACGTCCTCCATATGGTAGCGGTGGAGGAAAATCTGCCCATCAAGCTTTCCGCGCTCGATTCCCCGACGGCGCCTGGACTCGTCTGCTGGGCGCTCAGCGGGGGAACCGCGACGGGCGGTCCTTTTTGCAACCTTCTGCCTCGGGGGGCTCTCGCTGGCCCCCCAGAGGCCGTCCAGGAACGACCCGGGATGAACAGCTGGCCCTGGGGAGGGAGAGAGGGTCGGAGGCATCCTGGCGGGGCCCGCGCAAGACGAGAAAACAAGCCACCGCATGCCCAGGAGGGCGAGGGGAGTGGGAGGCGAAGGAGGAGGGAGAAGGGCGGGCGAGCAAAGGGGGAAGGAGAGAGAGAGAGAGAGAGAGAGAGAAATAGAGGGAGGAGAGAGAGAGAGAGGAGAGAGAGACCCCCGCGGTGAGCCCGTCGCGCTGCCCGGCTCCCTCCCCGCCCAGCCTCCCCCGTCGAGCGGCGCCCGGCCACCCGCACTCCGCCAGAGGCCGGGCCCGTGCCCCCACGCCGCCGACGACCGACCGACCGAGATCTGTGGCGCGCCTCCTCCTCCTCCTCCTCCTCCTCCTTCTCCTCCTCCTCCTCCTCCTCCTCCTCCTACTCCTGTTCTTCCTCCTCCTCCTCCATCCTCCTCCTCCTCCTCCTTCTCCTCCTCCTCCTCCTCCTCCTCCTCCTCCTCCTCGAGCGCGGCGGGGGCGGCGCTGGAAGCGCCGCCAGGGGGGGGGCCCAGCGCCGATCCAAGAAGATAATCTGGGCGGAGCTCCGACCGTTTACGCGCTCGTATAATTTGTTCCTCTTCGGCGACAGCGAGAAGGCTCAGCCAGCGGCGTCCAGGGGCACCCTGCAGACGGGGCACTCGTCCCTGTCCGCGAGCCAGCGGTCGACGCAGCTCTTGTGGAAGGCGTGGGCGCACCAGAGGGACCGCAGCGTCGCCCCTGGCTCGAACTCCTCCAAGCAGATGGCGCAGCGCCTCTCCTCTGGGGGAACCAGTGGGCGCGTGCTCACACTTCTTTGTCATCGGCGACTTGGGTTAGGTCGGGCATGTCCTCCTACAGGCGGACTTTGGGAGACAAATGAAACATAACCACAAAATAAGCACAATAATAGTCCACCAAAAACACAGCAAATATTCACCCGATTATCTCTAACTATTCTTGAATATTATCCTGTAGAAAAACATACCCGACTTGAGATTTGGGTCCAAGACGCGGTCGAGGCAGCCGATAGGCGCTTCGAGGGCGAAGTCGACGGAACAGGGGAGGGACGGGCGCGGAGGGGGGGGCAAGGACCCGCGGGCGGTGGGGCACGGTGAGACCGTGCTGATCACGTACGTGTGTGCCGGGGCACAAGCTTGAGGCGTACTGTAGGTTCGTGCAGTGTCGGCACACGCAACAATTAATCGATCGCGGCCCCCATCGTTCAAGGTTGAATTCAGTAGGGTCCAGTGGCGTTACCATGTCCATCGGTGCTTCCGCGTCGAAAAGTTCAACCTGGAGGGGGGGGCGCGGGTCGTCAGAGCGCATGCCTCAGATGATGCCAAGACAGCTCAAGAGAGCTCAAGATCACATTCAAGATCGCTCAAGATAGCCTTCGATGACTCAAGATAGCTCCTCACGAGCCTACACGAGGCTCCAAGACCGCTCCAAGACGGCCCCAAGTGGCCACGGAGCCTCCCAAGGACGCTCCCGAGAGGCCCAAATCCTTCAAAACCATCGGAAAATCAATTTTGTGTCCCTTCTCGCATTTTCGCTTTCAATGGGCTCTTCAGGCTTCAAGGTGGCCCCAAGATGGCCCAAGACAGCCCTTAGACAGGCCCCAGAGAGGCCCAAGACGGGCCCAAGAGCGCCCCAACAGCGGCCTAACAGGGCCCCCCGAAGGCCACTTGTTCGGTTCCGATGGGGGGACCGTAATTGACGCCGCGCTCCTTTTTGAGTCGTAGCCTCCAAGATAGCACCAAAAGACCCCCCAGACCCCCCGAAAGAGCCCAAAGAGGGCCCCAGGACCCCCCACAAGAGCTCCAGGGGTGCCCCAAGAGGCACCACGGGGACCCAAAAAGGGCCTAGAGACCTCCAAAATATCCCCAAGAAGGCCCTTGGATAGCCCCAAGATGTCTCCAAAGAGGCTCTCAGAAAGAAAACCCAGAAAAGGCATTGATGGTTGACTCCTCGTCGTCGTCGTCGTCGTCGTCGTAGTCGTCGTCGCCGTCTTCGTCTTCGTCGCCGGCGTCGTCGCGGTCGCGATCGCGATCGCGGTCGCCGTCGTCGTCGTCGTCGTCGATGCCGTTTTTGTGGTCATCGCCGTCGTCATCGTCACCGCTATCTCCCTCTCGCCTCCCACCGCCTTTTCTTCTTCCTCCTCATCCGCCTCGTCCCCCACCCACTCCTCCCACAAGGAAGAGCTAAAGGGGAGCAGGTGGGGTGTAGGAGGAACAGGACGGTGTTTTTGCGAGGGCAGGAGAAGGTACGCCCGAAAACAACGACGGTCACCATGCTTCGCAAAAGTTGCTGTTTTGGAATGGGCTGGTGGGGGTAAGCAACAACGCAACGATCTAAATTACGGCCTCAGTAGGAGCCACAGCGAGGCTAGTGGGGATACTTGTTTAGTCAGCGGCCGCGGGCGAGCGCGCCGGAGGCGAGTCAGGTCAGAGCGGGCTACGCAGCGACGAATTAAGCGAAGGCAGCGGGGGCAGGCCACGCCTAACGCGGCTACCACTGGTGGGGTATTTTTTTTGGTCGCGGGCGCAAGCGGAAGCGCAGGCGCCGAGTTGAAAGGTCCGGGCCACGGGCCTATCAAATTGGCTACGCGCGAGCCTAGAGCGAAGCGGCAGGGCCGGCACTCAGTAGCAGCCGCCGGCGGGGCTGCAGCTGATGGGAAGCTGGCTGAGCTGCCTGCGGAAGGCCAGGGTGGCAGGTGCAACATGCAAGAGAAGGCTGAAAGACGCCAGGGTGGAATCAAGTCCTGCACGCCAGGAGAGCATGAGGAATTTCCTACCTCCCATTCGTGGAAGGGTCTGCCCCTCCCCCTCCCCCCTCTCCCTGGGTCTGGACGGGGGGGCCCGCAGGGTGCCAGAAGATCGCTGCCTGGCCCCGGCCAGGAACGAACACGGCTGCCGTTGCAAAGGTGAGGGCCACACGGTGGCCTCCCGGGGAGGGCTCCCGTGGAGAGCCCCCCCCTGCCTTGGCCGATCCCCTCCAAGATGGGCCCCGGAGCACCCCGAGGGTGCCCCAAGCTGGCACCAAGAGGTGCCCCAAGATGGCCGCAACAGGCCCCCGAGAGGGCGCGAGGAAGGCCCCCAAGAGGCTCCCAAGAGACCCCCGAGACGCCCCCCAGCAGCCCCCCAGAGGCACCCGAGACGCCCCCCAGAGGCCCCCTCCTTGGACCGCCCAGAGCCCCCCAGGCGCCCCAAGAGGACAGCAATGAGCTCTCGAGAAACATGGGAAGAGACTCCAGAGGCATCCAAAGAGGCCTCTGGCCATTTCTGCACGCCCTCCTCCCCCTCCTCCTCACAATTCTTCTCACCCGGCTGTTCCTCCTCTTTCCTCCACCCTCCTTTCCCTCCCCTTCTTCCTCCTCCTGCTCCTCCTCCTCCTGCTGCTCCTCCCTCCTCCCCCTATTCGGGTATCAGGTCTTACCCAGTCCTTTATTCCACTGCATGCTCCTCCACATCCCTGATCAGGGCAACCTGTCAGGGCATCGTTTCTATATGGGCTGGTGGGGTTACGCGAAGCGTCTAGGATTATCGGGGTCACGTCGCCGTCGTCGTCGTCGAAGTCAGAATCGTCGGAATCGCCGTAGTCGACGTCGTCAAAGAAGTCGCCGAAGGCATCGTCGTCGGAGTCGTAGTCGACGGCGTCTTCGGCGTCGTCGTCCGAGTCGTCGGCGTCGTCGGCGTGATCTGTGCAGTTAGCGGCGACGTCGCCATCGTGATCGGAATCGGAATGATCTATGTCGTCGTCGGAGTCGTCGTCGTTGCCAGAGTCGGAATCAAAATAGTCGAAGTCGTCTAAGCCATCAGAATCGGTATCATCGGATGTGTCGCCAATGCCGTCGGAGTAGGAGACATCGTCGGAATCATCACCGTCGTCATCGGAATCCAAATCGTCGGCGAAGTCCTCGGAGTCGCCGTCGGAATCATTCGTGGTCGCTGTCGTCGGAATCATCGGCCCTAGTAGGAGCGCCCAAGTGAGGGCCCACACCCATCTCGGCACAACCCTTACTCGGATCGTTTCCACTATGGAGCTCTGTCCACGGCCCAATTTGTGACATCTGCATGCTGGCCCACACCGCCGCCGTCGTCGTAGTCGCCGAGAGCCCCAGATGACGGCTCCCATGGTAAACATCGTCATGGCAAACCTTGACTTCATCATGAGTTTCATGCTCGATCTTTGTTTCATCATGATACACCTTGGCTTCATCATGGTAAATCTCGTCAACACACAACTCGATGATATCCCTATGCCATATGATTTGCTGGGGTTGGTACGCAGGGGGGAAATTATCATCACGACTATGGGCGAGGACTCTATGAGGTCTGAACCCTAGGTGCCGAATGCTGGTGGGCCAGACGCCGACTAGCGCAAGCTGATTGAGGACGGAAGGGTCGGCGGACGGAGTTTGGGCGAGGAGGAGGGGAGGCCAGAACTTTGGGAGGGACGGGCCCTGACATCCTCCGAGATCATTGCTGCCAGGGCCCCTGACTTCGCGCCCTCGCGCCGTCCCCCAAGGGATCAAAGGAGGGTGCGGACGAATCCATCGGAGCCGAACCGCGAAGCGCGAAAAAATTCGCACCCTCGAGGGCTAGGAAGGCACCAACTATACACCAACACCGATCCTGGCCAGGATCTCCCTGGGCCCAGGATCGGTGTATACGCCCTCCTGCCTTGCGCAATAAGGCATATACACCGATCCTGGGCCCAGGGTGATCCTGGGCCAGGATCGGTGTTGGTGTATAGTTGGTGCCCTCCGAAGGGCGCTCTTGACTTTCCAATCCGCGGCCCAAAGGTCTCCCGCCCCCCCTCCCCCACCGGTAGCTTCTCGCCCCGGGTCCGTTTCCGGTGGCTCCCGGGCCCGAAGACGGGCCCAACTGCCGCCGAAAATAAAGAGAAACGCTCGAATTGGAAGCTCCTCCTCCTCCTCCTCCTCCTCCTCCTCCTCCTCCTCCTCCTCCTCCTCCTCCTCCTCCTCCTCCTCCGCTTCCTCCCCCCACTCCTAGCCCTTTCGATCAGGGTCGGCGGCACCGGCCGTCAGGCCTCTCCAATAAAGAGAAACGCTCGGATTGGAAGCAACAGATCCTCTGGGGACGGGGACGGGGAGACCCTGAGATCCGTCGTTGCGAATAAAACAAAAAGCATCGCGGGCGATCACGACCTGAGACCTCTGGACCCACCTTTCTGCGCCAGGTTTCGAGCCGGATCGGTCTGTCATGGTCCCCGGGCCCCGAAACAAAATAGAGGCCTCTTAGATGGGGTCCGAGCAGATAGGGTCGGAGGATCGCACCGCATCGCCGATGCATCGACGACGTCGGCAATGTATCCGCACCATCGGCGAGGCGAAAATGGGGCTCCGCATCGCCCATGCATCGGTGATGGGGCACGAGCCTCCGACCACACCGACTCGGAGCCCACCTGGGAGGCCTCCTAGACAAAAGAGAACGTCCCTTGAAACAAAACTGCGACGCCAGGATCTCAGGGCGGGCCCCCCGGTGGTGATGGTGTCGCCGCTCTCTCCTGCGGCCCCCGTGTTCGTGGCATGAGCACTACGGTCGAACCTAGAACAGAATAACATCCTTCAAGAGCATGAGAGCCTCCACCGGCCAAAAGCACCCCAAACCACAAGATCACCGAGGTTACCCTCGCCCAGGGCGCACAAAAACATCCAACAGACACGAATAACATCAGGGCACCATACCCGAACCGACCTCGATCTTGGACCTCGGGCCGACTGTATCAGAGTACACTCGTGCCCGCCGAATGGCCTAACTCATCCCACCATCCGGTGGCGGTTCGTCCCACCAGCCCGGACCGTCCCACCATCCGCTTGTGCCCTCAGACCCAGACCTCGACGTCATGATTTTTCATGACGTCGACCACCAGCGGTCTGGACCCATTCCCCCGGACCGCTGTTCCGTCTTGAGTCGTTTTTTGATGGTCCCGAGGGCCGGGAAGGGCCCCCAGAGGCCAAACATAATGCGAAACCTCCCGTCGCGATTTTCTCATAACTCGAGGGGGTCTGGGGAGCCAGGAGCCTCTGCACACCGTTCGCCCCGCCCGTGGGCTCCTCCGCCGCGGCCGGCGCGGTGGAGGGCGCGGACACCTGGGCGCGTCGCCCCGGGGCGGTGTGTGGCGATGGGGTTCCTCTCCAGGTCTCGTCCATCCTCCTCGTCCTCGTCCTCGTCCTCGTCCTCCTCCTTCTCCTCCTCCTCCTCGTCCTCGTCCTCGTCCTCCTCCTCCTCCTCCTCCTAGTCCTCCTCCTCCTCCGCGTCGTCCTCGTCGTCCTCGTCGTCCTCGTCGTCCTCGTCCCTCGTCCTCCTCCTCCTCTTCCTCCAGCTCCTCCTCCTCCGCCTCCTCTTCCTCCTCCTCTTCCTCCTCCTCCTCTTCCTCCTCCTCTTCCTCCTCCTCTTCCTCCTCTTTCTCCTCCTTCTCGATCCTCTTCCCCCTCCTAATCCTCCACATGCTCGCGTCGTTTGGCGACTCCGAAGGGTGAGGACCTCGACGGAGGTCTCTGCCGCGCCCCGGCGAGGCCTCATCAAACCTTTGGCGCAGCGTGGTGACCCCAGTAAGCTCCCACGGCGCCGCTCGTAAAAGCCACACCCAAGCGCAACCCGCACCCATCGGTCGGAAGAAGTAGGCAGAGACATGAAGTAGGAAAGCGTTGAAAAGAGATTGGGTGCCCGCCCGCCCCCCAAAGCGGACGGAAAAGATGAAGCCACTCGATCATTGAGGTAGGAAGGCGCCTACAGTAGATTGGAATCTGGGACCCCAAAATACTTACTTTCAACGCCCGATGGGCAACCACACCCCATGTGGTAGTCGGCGAGTCGTGGACGAGAATCACGGCGAGAATCATTCGCCCAGTCTCGGGCTCCGAGGGCCCTCGCTGGGCCCCGGGGCTGGCAGAAAACAACGGGTCGGGATGGAAAGCCAGCCCGAGGGAACGGGTCGGGACTTCTGGGGCCCCGTGCCTAACAACCAAGCCATCGCAGGTCTGGCCATCGCTCGGACGTCCATTCCCTGTGTGTTTTTCGGTTTCGTGCGTGGATTCTTCGCCAAATGATCAAGGATGCTCGTCGATGGTCCTCGCCGAAGGAAAAACGCACACGTCCGAGCGATGCCAAGATGTCTGGGATTTTTCCCACGCTCTCTTCGTGATCCCTTCAACATCTTCGTCTGTCGCGCTCTTGGTGCCGTCATCGTGCTGGACCCGCTGGGCCATGCCCTCGTCCTCACCCTCTTCGTCCCACGACTGCTCCTCCACAGTCTGGGCTACCCATGCTCCTGCTCATGTATCACCACGAAAAAACATCAACTCCACTACCAGTCTTCATGTACGCGGTGGCTCTCGACAGAGGCGGGCGAGACATACCACTCGAGCACGCGCAGACAGGTCAAAACTCACGGGGTAGCAAGTTCAAGGAGAAGACATCAACACACATCAAACTTGGTGGTGACTGGTCTGTGCTTACTGGTTGGCGCGGTCGAAGAAGTGCCATCTATCAGAGCGCATAAACCGGTCTGCCACACACGGGTCAGCAGGTTTAGTGGAACTATGGGATACCCAACATTCACTAACAGGCCTGTGCTGACCTGAAAGTGTGTCTGTGACTGTCTTGCCCATCTCTAGCGGCATCCTCGCGCCGAGGACCAAGAAGCCTGAGGCAGTCACGTGCCTCGCCCCGCGCGCAGTGGGTCAGGGAGGCTTGCCGTCGCGGCTGGAGGCAGAAGGGCATCCGAGAGGACGCCCGGGGGCCGAACTTCTCCCGAAGGCAAGCACGCGCCGGCGGGCCGCAGGAGGCGTGGCGCGGCGGGCGAGCGAGAGAGGGCAAGAGCAGGGCTCGACCTGGACAGCGTCTTTTGTGTTTTCGCCCTGTTTTCGTATTCCCCTCGCTTTGTCCCAAAGGTTCGCCTTTGCTGTAAAACGACACCAGAGCGAAAACGACCCACGAGATCGCCCAAACACCGTTCGGGTCCACCCCCAGGCAAAGAGGGCCCGCGAGACGAGGGGAGGCTGGGCCACGCCTGGGTCGCGACCGCGGGACGATGTCCAGGGGCGAGCAAACATGGATAAGAGATCCTTGGATTTGGCACCCGGTCGCCAAATCCATGGATCGTGGGAGGTGCCCTCCCCAAAATGCGGCCGAAGCCGCCTCGCTCGGCGGCGGAAATCCGCGATTTCCCATGGAAACGGGACCCATCGCTAATCCACGCCCCCTTCATCCATGTTTGCGGTCACCTGAGCCTTGGCCGCAAAACGACGCCGAAACGAAAACGGCCCACGAAATTGCCAAAACACCGTTCGGGTTTACCCCCAGGCGAGCGGGGCCCGCGAGACGAAGGGAGGCCGACCGCAGGACGATGTGCACGACGACCACGAGACACGCCGTCGACCTGTACTGTTATCGGGGGCGGCCAAGAGGGGGGCGTCCAAGAGAGGGGGGCGCAAATCATGGCCGGCGGCATGTGCGCGGCCCTTGGGGTGGGCCAGGGACGTAATGAATAATGAAGAAGAGGCGCCATGAAATCTGGGGAAATGTCATGTCCCCCGCCATGAGATCCCCCCCCCCTCTCTAGTCATCACCCCCCTCTTTGCCGCCCCCGATGTTAGTGAAGGGGCCCTGGGAAAATACACACTAATAAAAGGATTCCCCATATTTTCCTATATTTTCTGGGTTTCTGTCTTCCCCCCCACTTCCCATAGTTTCCTACATTTTCCTGGGGCTCGACGATGGATTGTGTCTGTGTGTTTCTTTCCCTCCTGAGCTAGGTCGGGCATGTCCTCCTACAGGCACCGCGTGGGCGAAAAGTGACATTCCTCCTGCAGGAACTAGGGCTCCCAACTTCGCGCTTCGCGCTGCGCGAAGCGCGAATAACTTCGCGCTCTCGCGCCGCCCTCCCAAAGGGAGAATAGGAGGACGAGGAGGAGGGGGAGAAGGAACGAGGACCGCGAAGCGCGAATAACTTCGCGCCCTCGAGGGAGCCCTTGAGGAAGGACATGCCCGACTCAGCTGTGCTGCTGGGCCGCGGCTGCAGGCAGAGGGCCGGGGTCGGGAGCACGGGCCCCCTCGCCGAAGGCCAGGAGGCCACGTTGAAGGGGCCCCAGGACACACACACACACACACACACATAAATGCACACAAATAAAAGGATGCCCCATATTTTCTCATATTTTCTGGGTTTCTGTCTTCCCCCCCACTTCCCATATTCTCCTATACTTTCTGGGGAACCGACGATTCATTGTGTCTGTGTGTTGTTTTCCCTCCTGACATCAGAATCGGCGGTGGACAAATCGCCCTAGTAAACCACCCTTTTGCGAGCGGCCCAAGACCGAAGCCGACGGACCTGGACCCGCAAAATGACGACCGCGACGCCCTCTCGCGAACCGAAAACGGCCAATCCGTTAATCGACGTGTCAGGGTAGGAGGTCTATCAACCTCCGAAAGAAACCTTCCACAAGAAACCCAACCCTCGGGTCTTGCCGGAAGTGCCCCTGGCCCAAAGTGCCCCAAGGATTCCTCGGGAGGCCCGCACGGCCTCCGGAGAAGCCCTCGCGAGGCCCCAGGGGCTCCAAAATGAAACGAAGCTGGGGGCACCTCCTGGCAACACCCGGAACCCCGAGACCCCAGGACGTCCACTGATTTTTTGGATGGGACAGTCACGCTTTCCACAGCAAGGCCATCGAGACACAAGAAGCCCAGGCCCTGGGCTCCTGTCTGGGCCAACCGACGACACAAGCCCAGGGCACCCTGGTTTCTTGGCATGGGCTCCCCCTGCCGCCCAGACGAGGAACGTTCCGAAGTGGATGGCCCAACCACGAGAAATCCAAAGGCACCCATCCGAGGCCGGGGGTCGGTCCTGATCTTTGAACCGGCCGCAACAGTTCGGGGGCTAGGCTCTAGGCCACGTCGCTTAGACGAGCGCGCTCCACTACTCGCAAACGTAACTACTCAGAAATGGCCTGGATCCGCCGCGGCGGATCTACGATAAGTTACATCGAAGGAGACACGTGTTTTCGGACGTTTGCGAGTAAGCACCTTGCGAGTAGTGGAGCGCGCTCGGTGATCGCTGCACCCAGACCCAAAGGCATCCGACGATATGTTTTCCCAATGCCCCCAGCGCCATCCAGACCCTGAAGGGAGTCCATTTTTGATGGCCCTGGTCCCGATACAGTCAAAACGTATATTAAGGACGGGTGATAAGGACGCAAGACCCTTGGATGCCGAAGTTGGGTTTTTTAGGGCGGCGGGCGACCAGTGATAATGGCAAGAACGAGCCTCAGAGGCAAGGACACAAGGGTACCCTAGATGAAAACGCGCGTCCTTACTAGGCGCGTTGACTGTAAGGTCCCCCAATGGCGGGGGGGTCTCAGCACCGATCCGAGCGAAGCTCCGGACGCTCGTGCCTCTGCCGGTCTCCTCCTCCTCCTCCTCCTCCTCCTCCTCCTCCTCCTCCTCCTCCTCCTCCTCTCTCCTCCTCCTCCTCCTCCTCCTCCTCCTCCTCCTCCTCCTCCTCCTCCCCCTCCCCCTCCCCCTCCCCCTCCCCCTCCCCTCGCTGGAGGCCTGGCTCTGCGCTCCACAGACAGGAATAGGACTGCTACCGCTACTCTCAGGGGGCCCAAGGACACACAAATGAATACATACAAATAAAATGACTCCCCATATTTTCCCATATTTTCTGGGTTTTTGTCTTCCCGCCCAATTCCTATATTTTCCTAATTTTCCTGGGAATCGACGATTAATTGTGTCTGTGTTTTTTCCCCTCCTGATACTTCCTGGATATCTCCCGGGCGCGTTCGGACCAGAATTCCGAGGACGATCCAGCCGTGGTGACGAACTCTTCAGGACGAGCAACGGTATCTGTGTCGTCTCCTCCCCTGATCGGCGGCGACGATAAGGCCGAATAGCCCAGGCGCGGGCATTAGGCGTATTCGCCCGGGAGCCTTTTCGAAGACATAGATCATCGGCGCCCCTGGATACATTGTTTGCTCTCCCCTGGGCTAGCCGCCCCTATATCGTCGCCTCTGATCTGAATCTCGGCACGGGTGCCTCCGGCCCCGCGCCGGCGCCGCGGTACACGTGCACGGTGGTGCGCTGGTCCCGGGCGCGAGCCAGCTCTCGCGGGGCTGGGCGCCTGCGTGGCCGGGGCTACCGTCGGACCCGAGCCGAATTTGGACGCCCGAAATGGGTACGGAAAAAATGGGTACAATGCCCAACAACAAATGTTGTCCCAAACCAACAGCGGCCGCTGTTGGGCAGGCGGCCTTCTATCTCGAATGGACACAGGCCGCGGCGGCGTGGACAGCGAATCCTGTTCAAGATGAACAGGAACTGCTGTTGGGCATTGTACCCATTCTTTCCGTACCCATTTCGGGCGTCCAGACCAGAAGAGCATCCAACAAAAACATGAGACCCTCGGCCGGCCAAAGCACACAGAGAAAATCCCAGGGTGCTGTTGCCCTCCCCAGGATGCGCAGGGGACAACCAACAAGCACGAAAAACATCAGGGCCCCCTCCCGGAGCCGACCTCGATCTCATACCTCGGTCCGACTGTAGCCAAGACCGGCGGGGGGGAAGCTCTGCAGCAATCGGGGCCTGCCCAAGACGTCCCTGGCCCACAAGGTGCCCCCGGCTGCTCGCTCCGTCTTGGGAGCCCTGGGGCCTTGTGAGGCGTGCTCCGGCAGGCCGTGGGCGCCTCCTGTCTTCTGCCCTGTAGGGGCCGTTGGGCCCCTACAGTCGAACTGCTCTCACAAGGAGCACAAGACAAGGAGCGAGGCCCCTTTTTTTCTCCCCTAAGCTAAACTTCGACGTCCCATAGAGGACCTAAGGACCACCTCAGGCAAGCTGCAAACCAAGCAAGGAACACTGAGCCGCTCCCAAACGAAAGGGGTTCCTTCTTCGGCGGCCTGACTGTATCTGCGATCGGTGCACGGAGGGGGAGGTGCAGGAAGACAGGAGGTAACTCCTGGGAGGTCTTCGCAGGAGCGACTGAGGGCTATGAACATTGTGACATCTGGCCGTTGTAGCTTTTTGTTCGCAGTGGGAGATTTCGCCAACTTTCGGGCCCTGCGACCATCACAGATCTACCCACCTCAAACAACGCAGCCGAAAGGTGACATCTAGAGCTCAGGTCTCAATTTCCCGCGATGTTGCATATGATCGTGACGTCGGATCTCAGGAAGGTCTCCGAAAAAACGATTGGGGCGATTAAGCCCGTGTAAGGAGCCATTAAGCTGGAAACCCGTTCAAAAGCGATTAAGCAAAACATCAAACCGATGAATAAGAACAACCAAGCACAATATGACACCATATCAAGCCAGACTGCGCGTGACTCCAAGGAACTAGACGGGATTAGGTCGGATCAAGCAAGCTTTCGACTACGGATGCACCAACGCCGATGCTGAATCTGATCTCCCAAGAGTTGCACCCTAAAGGAACGGAAAAGGGGGGTGCGGCGCGCAGGCGGGGGGAGGGGGTACCCATCGGTCGGAAATAGGTAGAGACATGAAGCAGGAAAGCGTTGGAAGTAGATTGGGCTTCCGCCGGCCCCCTGAAGAGGAGAGAAGAAGGACACCAGCTGGTCCTTGTAATAGGAAGGCGCCAAAAGTAGATTGGGCTCTGGGAGTCCAAAAGTACATACCGTCAACGACCGATGGGTCGGGAGGGGGGGGCGGCCTTGTAGGGCAGGGGGGGCGGTCTCTCGGATAGGGCTCCATGGCTCGTCGGGGTGCGCGGAGGGCGACGGGGCTTCCAACGGCGCCCCCCCCCGCCTTCTCACAGGGCCGCGCCGCTCCCTTCTGCGCGCCCGCGGAGGGAGGGGGAAGTTGGGCGGGCGCTACTGGGGGGTGACCCAACTTTTTTTTTCGTCGCTGACGAGCGCAGCAAGCCGATCCACTGATACGCTGTACTATATAATGGTAGTGGGTTGCGCACTGCATTGCCACAATGCCCTTGACGGCGCTCGCCCCTTCATCGTCCTCCCCGCTGGGGGGTGGTGAAGAAAGGTGCCCAAGAGGGCCCCTCGAGGGCCCCTGCTGGCTCCAACCGGGGCCCCACACGGGCCCTTTTGGGGGCCCTTCTCTTCGCCCTCATTTGGGTCACCCCCCATTGCCGCCCGCCCGAGGGGAGGGCGCTCCCGGCTCCGGCTGTGCGTCGCGACTCGCTGAGCTTTCTGGTGGCCCCCAGGGTCCCGAAAAAGGGCCCCAGCAGGCCCAAGTCGGGAAACAAACATGGGCGTCGTGGCTCCGCTCGAGACGCCCAGGGGTCTGGGGAGGAGGGAGCGTGAGGACGCGGGGCAAGGGCCCCATCATTCTAACGTCTTGAAGAGATGACGCCCTTACGGCAGAAAACCCTCAAAGGCTTTACGCGGTCACGATGGGAGCCACGATGGGGGGGTACGATGGGGGGATCGGGCCGGGGATGGGCGTAGGGCTGATCAGAGGGTCCCATTGGACCCCGACGTTCCCCTTCTGATAGCATGACTATGTGTAGTATGCGTGACGTGCACGTTGCGGCTGCAGCCATTCCCGCTTGCCTCGGGTGAGGCAGAGGAGCGGAGGGAGCCCCTCTCTCGAAGACTGTCTGAAGGTAGGGAGACCCGGGAATACCACGGGGAACCATGGGAGACAACAGGGGTCACTTCGAGGCACGGCCAATCAGTCAGTCAAGAGCCGTGCACCCGAGAGGGCGCATAGGCAGAACGTGGTGTGCCCGTTGCCACGTTCGCGAACATGCGGAACATCATAGGGCTGGCACGCACGGGCTTGCTGCGGTAGGAGAAGGGGGCCCTCCTTGCGCTGCGCAGGCCCCGCGCTGTCAGTATCACAACTTCTTTGAAGGGGCCCTGGGACACACAAATAAATACACACACAAATAAAAAGATCCCCCTATGTTTTCCTATATGTTCTGGGTTTTTGTCTTCCCCCCACCTCCCATATTTTCCCATATTGTCTGGGGAATGGACGATTAATTGTGTCTGTGTGTTTCTTTCCCTCCTGATTCTTTCCGGGATCTGGCTGTCTGAGGAGCGTGGTTCGGGGGAGCGGCGAGGACGAGACAGGCAGAGGAGGCAGCTAGCAGGCCAACCCCAGCAGGGCTGGCCCGCCAGGGAGGCATCGCCTCAGGGACGCTTCCAGGTCTGGCGTGCGCCACCTACTCGCTGCTCTGAAACGCGTGGCAGACAAGCTGCTCAGGGAATCGAGGCTGGTGACTTTTATCATGTTCGGCCTCCGTGGGCTGCTTACCAACTCGCGGGCCGTAAACAAGACACCTACGATGATAAAACCTGCCCAGAAGAAGGGGGCGAGAGCTCTGGGGCCTGGAACAAGTCGAGTCGTCTGAGCCCTGAGAGCAGAGTTCGGCCATGCTTGCGGGCCGTCCCCGGGACCCGAGTCCCAAAAAGGGTGAATGCCACGAGGGCAGGGGGCAGGAGCCAGGAGAGGCTGAGCAAAGAATCCCGAAATATGCCTCGGAAAGAGAGGGGTCGCACGAGCCTCCAGAACGGCTCCCAAGAGACCTCCAAACTGCCTCCAAGAGGCCCCCGAGAGGCCTCCCACGAGATTCCAACGAACATCCAATAGGCTTCGTACCCACAGTCCAGGCACAGTGGCGGGATGGGCCGACGGCCATGAGATATGCCGCGGGAAGAGAGTGGTCGCGAGAGAGACATGGCGACCTCACGCGTAGTGGATTTACGCGGGCCGCCAGCGCGGCGGCAAACGCTGTGGCGAACACGCAGAGACCCTATGCGGTCGAATCGCGAGCGACCATCGGCATAGCGGAGGCGCCTACCTCCGGCCTGGAGATATGCTTCCTGGGTGTTCGGCAGGCCAACATCGGATCCGAACATCGGACCCGGATCGACCGGATCGAAATGGACCCTCGCAAATGGTGATGAGGCACGTCGGAACGTTGCAAACAATTGTCCATCAACCCATCTCTTGGCGAATTCAACCTACAGTGTGTTTTCCTTGGTGCGACCGAGATGGATACGGAAAAAAGGACACGATGCCCAACAACAATTGTTGGTCAAAACCAACAGTGGCTGGTGTTGGGCATGCGATGTTCGTCTCAAGACCTGGACCTGAGAGACTTTCCACGGTAAGGGAACCCTCCTTCGTCCTGCATAATTGTTGACGGTGCTGGGGCTCGTGGAGGACTCTGGGAGCCCGAAAACAACAACCTCAGAACCCGTTTCCGTAATGTCAATCCATGGGTCATCCCTGAGACCCGACGTCACGAAAAAATGTGCAACATCGTGAAGCATCACGACCAGCGCCCTGAACCCCGTCGTACTTGGGCGTCGCTCAATGGGGGGGCGATCAATGGAGAGGGAGGAGAGGTGCACCTCTAGGGCCCGAAGGACCTCGTCTTGCGCCCCAAAGCGCCCCTTTTGGGGCCCGAGAAGGGCCCCTTTCTGCAGCCCTCTCTGCCCCCTCGTGTATCGCCCCCCCACTGCGCGACGACAAACTTGCTGCTGCATTTTTCCAGCAGGATCGATCCATCAGTCGCTGGGCCCCAAAGAGGGCAGAACCGCTCTCTCTCCCTGGAAAAGACTGCAGGGCTGGATCTCAGGGTACGTTTCGTGGGTCATCGGATGCTGGGGCAGGAGAGCCCATCATCGCATCGATACGTCGAATCGGCGATCGAAATTCATCGGACTGGCGGAGATCGGCAGCCAAGTCGGGAAAAGTCGAATCGGCTGAAATCGGCAGAGCAGTAAGGCCTCACTGAGAAATCTGAATCCGAATCGGACGCTGAAGCCGGATCGAATCGGAGCCGAAATCCATCTATATCGAATCGAATCGGATCGGAGGAATCGAAATGAGGGAGGAGGAGAAGGTGGAGGAGACTGAGGAAGAAAAGGAGGAGGAGCAGGAGCAGGAAGGAGGGGGAGGAGGAAGAGGAGGATGACCGGCAGGAGGGGGAAGCCCTGCTGGGAACCGGCCTCGCCCGCTTGCCGTCGCCCATGCGCGACTCGAGCTCGAGCATCTCCCCGTAGGACAGGCCCTCAATGTCCCCGGTGAGCAGCGCCGTCTCGACGCCCCCGCTCTGCACCCTGCCCCGGTCCTCGGGACAGGTGGCCAGGCTTCATCCAGTGTCCCATCGCAAGGCAAGGCCAGGACGAGGACAACTCTGGATGAGGACAAATCGGGGATCTCTGAGATCCGGCGGCTCTGGAGGATGTATCGATCGCCGCGGCCTGCTCAGAGCGCCCCAGAGCGCTCTGAGAGAGTTCTGGAACGCTCTGCAACGATCTTGTTTCCCTGTCCCAGCCCTGCCCGATGACCCCTTGCTCCCCGCCCCCCGTAGGAGGTAATCGCTAGGACGATTGAGGGCGATTAAGCCAGATTGGGGGGCCCATTCGGCCAGATCAGGCCAAAACTTCAGCCCAAGATTGAGCCGGACTAAGCAAGACATAAATGGGATCATGCTGGATTGCAGCGGTTTCCGACCCAGCTTGTAACAGCGCCGATGCTGATCCGAATGCAAACTTCCAGGAGTTGCAGCATAACCTTAGGTCGGGCGTGTCCTCCTACTGGCGGATTTTGGACGAAAAATATGATAGTCAAACAATACCCCCAAATAGTCAAAAAATACTCCCCAAATCGTCGCCTGACTTTTTTAAAACTATGTTTACCTATTCCTCCTGCAGAGGGACAGGCCCGACTTAAGCCTAACCTCCCCGCCCGGGCCTCCCGAAGCCCAAAAGGAGGGCCAGGCACCCCCCCGAAAAGCCGAATCCCCGCTCCTTCCACCCTCGAGCCTCGATCCTCGAGCCTCGATCCCCCCTCTCCCCCGCTTCCCTCCCTCGTCGTCGCATTCACTTTCACAACGTGGACCCTCGCGACCTCTGTTTTTGTATTCTGTGTGTTGCGCCCCAGGGCCCAGCAAGGGCCCCCAAAGGTCGAACATTGACAGGAACCCTCCGTCGTGTTTTGTGGCGGCGCTACCTCGATCCTCGCGCCACGATCCTACCACCTGACTGCTCCTCCACCTGGAGTTCGCAAGAGGTCCTCAGCCCTCAGGAGAGTGTCGGGAGGGAAGAGAAGGTAGAAGAGGAGCGAGGAGGAAGAGCAAGGAGCGAGGAGGATAGAGATGATGAAGAGGAGGAGGATAACTAGAGAGGAGGACCAGACAAAACCTAAAAAACCATACGCCCACCCGTCCCATGCCACCTCCTCACAAGCCCCCACAAAGACTGTCGTTGCCACTGCTGAAAAAGTACCCCAAGTTCGCTGCCAAGCTTCGAATGTGCGAACGACATGTGGTCCATGCATGCACCTTCAAACTTTCAAACACCACTATGATCCATCCGCTTGATAATTTGAAATGTTTAAACAAACGTGCGTGGCACTACGACAAGCACCAACCTTTGAAACCACCACCCCCTCCGTCCGTGTAAGTATCGGAAACTTTGGAACGAATATGGGTGGCGCTCAAGCGAGAACTGCAAATGTTGAACGGAAAGTGCCATCCATCCGTGGAACTGATGGAAAACATGAAAATCGAATGTGCGCAACGCTTGGGCGAGAACCACATATGGCGGGTTCCCGTTTGTTCTGTTACCGGCCTGTTGGTCCCCGGGTTCCCCCGGCAATGGGGGCGGCCCCAGCAAGACCTTCCGCAATGCCACTTTAAGCGGAGAGCCCTTACACTGAGCTCATCTCTTTCGCTCCTCGTTGAATTGTTCGTTATTGGAATTTCGCGGTCGGGGCTTGGCACCGAGGTATTCCTTGTGTCGTCGGGCCATTAGCCCTAGACTGGAGTGGTGACGAACAGAAGGAGGAAGAGGAGGAGGAGGAGCGCTTCGCTTCCTCACAACTTGGGATGCTGCTTACGACGTTGGGTATCAAAAGTGAAGCTTTCGCCTCAGACATCCTCAGACCATTGAAATATTGAAGATCGGGCGGAGGATATCCAAAGGAGTATGGGAGAGCGCTTCGCCTGACATATCCTCACAAAATGGGGATGTTGGAGAAGTTGTCTTACGACGCCAATTCTCAAAAATTAACTTCTCGCCTGCAGCATCCTCAGACAAATGGAATGTTGGTGATCGGGCGACGGATATCCAACATTGTGGGGAGTTTGGCCTGAGACTCCCTACAAAGAGGGAATGTTGGAAGAGATATGTTCGAGGTTGGTTCTCCCGAGTGAAGCTTCCGCCTGAGACAACCTCAACAATTTGAGATCTTGGAGATCGGGCGTCAGGTATTCAACACGGTGCGGAGGAGCGCTCTGCCTTCGACATTCTCACAACCTGGAGATGTTGGAGGCTTGTGTGGAACATGTAGTTTTCGCTCGAAGCATCTGCAATTAACTTAACAATGTTTGAGATCAGGCGTCGGATACCAAAAATGGTGTGTGTGGTGGCGTTTCGACTGAGACAGCCTCATACAACGAAGATGTTGGAGGAGCTGTACTCCGATGCTGGTTCTCGAACGTGAAGCGTTCGCTCGGGGCATCCCAAATCAACTGAAACGTTGAAGATGAGACAGCGGATATCCAACATCGTGTGCGGGGAAGGAGGCGTGTCTCCTGAGAAGTCCTCACACAATGGGGATGTTGGAGAAATTGCTTTTGAGGCGCTGGTTCCCAACAGCGAAGCCCTCGCCTGCAGCATCCTCAGAGAAGTATGTCGATCGGGCGCCCGACATCTAACA